TAATAATAGTGAGACACAACTCCAAAGGAATGAGCACAGGAGGCACAGCAGGCAGCAGCATTGTCAGTCTGGGGGGAGGAGAGTGTTAACTGTAATAGCAGATTTAGAGAAACTAACAAATGGAAGCCAAACTGCAGATCGCACTTTATAATTAGTTAAAGCAAACAGGCTTTTTTTTTTTCCTTTTGGGAAAAAAAGTTTTTACATGACTAAATAAAAGCTGATCATTCTGATTCAGGGGCGGACTGACCATTTGGAAACTCGGGGACTGCCCGAGGGCCCGGGATCAGTAGGGGGGCCCCTGGTACCGTTTTCATAGGCTTTTTTGAGTTTGGGCAAGGACACAGGGGCCCCATGATCCCCTATTGCCCGGGGGCCCATGAGTTGTCAGTCCACCCCTGTTATGATTCCTCCTGTATCGGATTGTATTGTAACTGTCAGGGGCGGACTGACAACTCATGGGGCCCCTGGGCAATAGGGGATCGTGGGGCCCCTGTGTCCTCACCCACACTCAAACTACACCCAAAAAAAGCCTATGAAAGGTACCAGGGGCATCCCATGGAGCCCCCTAATGACCCCGGGCCCTCGGGCAGTGCCTGAATGGTCAGTCCGCCCTTGGTAACTGTACTGTCTCATGTTGTAAAGGGCTGTGTAATCTGTTGGCGCTACATAAATGTTGTATAATAATTGTAAGCACCCCCTGCCAGTGTTAAGTGGTTTGTCTATTCCCTGTAAACCGATACATTCTGCTGGAGAGCTTGAGCTTGTAATAAAGAACTGGCTGAATCACCAGATGAAAATACAAGAAAGAACACCTAAAAAAGGAAACTAATGCAGCCGTCACATCTAAGAATTGGCAAGCTGCAATATAATAAATGTTTGATTTTGGTTTATTATCGCTTTAAGACTCCTTTAATTTAAATTGTTCCACTCAGTAATGACGCATAAATGTCAATTTTCTCATTCTCTGCACTCCTTGAGGAACCTGGAAATATACGCTGATGTATACCATTACTAGCTCTTTCCTATCGAATATTTTTCCATTTTTCTATTCTTTTATTTTGAATTTTTTTTTTTTTCCTATTTTGTTTTTTTTTTTTGCTTTGCCGGTAACAAATATAAAAAGAAAAATCACTCGAGTAAAATATTGATTATATATCAGGGTTCAGTTAAAAGAGTCTGTCATCTATTTATTTATTTTTCACGATTATCCTGGCGGAAAGGCGATCTGAAGTCGCCAACAGGGTAATGAAATGATCTCCCGGTATATACGCCTTTTCATCGCGTATCGCCTTGCCTGCAAAGTAAAGAATTCATTAATTCCTGGAATTTATCTGGTATTACAAAGTGCTTAGAATATCCTGCACAATGCACCGACGTCTGTCAAAAGCTGACAGGCAAAAGTGTTGTCATTTGTATGTGGGGGAACTTCATGGCAGGTAATAGAAATGTATCAATATTTCTAAAAATATTCAAAATGCTGGAATAAATCCCGTCTTGCAGACATTAATTAAAATTTAATATTCAATGATTCAGCTATTTAGCATATAATACCGAGAAATGAAAGGCAGTCACCCTGTGCCAAGGAGGAATTTCGTGATCTCTCAAGTATCTGTGGAATTGAGATATTTGGATTTATTTTATTTAATTTTTTTTTACTTTTTTTTTCTGGTTGCAATAGAAAGTTTCCAACGTTGAAAAAAAAAAAAAAAAAACTTCTCGCTTTAAGAAGAAGCTGTTATGTTTTGGGTTATATTTTATTTCAATGTGTTTAAAGTTTATACATATTTAAACAGTTGTAAATTTTATTTTTGCTATTTATGTAATTTTTTTTTAAATTTCAGAAATAAACATTTCAACAGCTTGCACCCAATACACAGAAGCCAGAGACCATTGTAGGTTGTTTGCTTTCAGACTTTCCCTCTCTAATTGAAACTTCATGGGATTGATTTGCTATGTGCAAGCAAAATTGCTTTTTTTGTTTTGTTTTATTTTTTTTGCACGCGATTGGGTATCCTTTGCAAAGTGAAACACTTCACTACATTCAAAAAAGCTCTGAGGCAAGTTCCCTTGCAAAGTCAACAGCTTATTTGCCTCTTATGTCTTATCTCAGTGGACTCCAAACTGGGGCCCAGGGCCTAGATGTGGTCCCTTACTTGCCTTGGGGTCCCTTGGGATTCCTTCCATTGATACAAGGCACTATTCTGCCAACTGACATCAACAATGGAGCACCATCCCTTACACTGATACCAACAATGGGGCACTATTCTTCCCACTGACACCAATGATGGGGTACTATTCCTCCCACTGACACCAATGATGGGGCACTATTCCTCCCACTGATACCAATGATGGGGCACTATTCTTCCCACTGACACCAATGATGGGGTACTATTCCTCCCACTGACACCAATGATGGGGCACTATTCCTCCCACTGACACCAATGATGGGCACTATTCCTCCCACTGATACCAATGATGGGGCACTATTCCTCCCACTGATACCAATGATGGGGCACTATTCCTCCCACTGATACCAACAATGGGGCAGAATCCCTACCACTGATACCAACAATGGGGCACCATCCCTCCCACTGACACCAACAATGGGGCACTATTCCTCCCACTGATACCAACAATGGGTCACTATTCCTCCCACTGACACCAATGATGAGGCACTTTTCTTCCAACTGATACCAACAATGGGACTCTATCCCTCCCACTAATACCAATGATGGGGCACTATTCCTCTCAATGATACCAATGATGGGGCACTATTCCTCCCACTGACACCAACAATGGGGCACCATCCCTCCCACTGACATCAACAATGGGGCACTATTCCTTCCACTGATACCAACAATGGGGCACTTTTGTTCCAAATGATACCAACAATGGGACACTATTCCTCCCACTGATACCAATGATGGAGCACTATTCCTCCCACTGACACCAATGATGGGGCACTATTCCTCCCACTGATACCAATGATGGAGCACTATTCCTCCCACTGACACCAATGATGGGGCACTATTCCTCCCACTGATACCAATGATGGGGCACTATTCCTCCCAATGATACCAATGATGGGGCACTATTCCTCCCACTGACACCAACAATGGGGCACCATCCCTCCCACTGACACCAACAATGGGGCACCATCCCTCCCACTGACACCAACAATGGGGGCACCATCCCTCCCACTGACACCAATGATGGGGCACTATTCCTCTCACTGACACCAATGATGGGGCACTATTCACAGAGGATTAACCCCTTAGGTTCCACAGTAAGTATAACAAGCATGCTGATTGTACTGTTGTGGGTTCAGGAACACTTGAACCTTGGCAGGAGGAGAGTTGGTAAGGCAGTCGGCCTTTTAGGTCAGGCAGTGTAGACCCGGTTCTGGGTGTAATAAGTGTGCTATTAAAAAAAAACAAAAAACTTGCCGTAAAAGTTATCTTTCCCAATTGGTGAACTGAAAACTTTATAAAGCAGCCAAGGCAATTTACAGGAGTCCAAAAGAAGCGCGGCCGCCGCCCGCGCTGGGTGGAAACACGCAGCCGGCTCTCTCTTTTAATTCACTCCAGCTTTGTTGTAGAAAGCCGTTCCCGACCTCGGTGAAATAATCCGGAGTTTGCCCTTGTTTGTGCCGGAATTAATCAGCCGCATTGTTTTATATATGTCTCATTTCTTTCCTCGCAGAAAAAAAAAAAAAGGGCCGCCTTGTCGTTTTTATTTTTCTACATTTTCCAAAACTGATTGGGGAAATACAGCCTATAATCACAAGCCCGGCTCTGCAAACATCATAAAGATGATGATGTGGACCGAGCCAATTTTCCCCGTGTCAGCGGCGCTTTATGATTTCTTGGATTACATATATTTGTTAAAACAACGTGACAAAAAAAAAAAAAACCCTGGGCGCTGTTCAGATGCAAACCGGCGGAAGGAGGACTGGAGACGGAGCATCAGGCACAATTAAAATGCTAAAAGGCCACCCGGCGATCCGATAAAATAACGCAGGCCATACACGGGTCCAACTCACAACGAATTTTCTTTAGAAAATCGGAAATTTCATGCGTTTTGTAATGCGATGGCGCCACCGTTGATTTCGAAATTCAACCAACGGAGCCTTCAATTCCCCCTCGTGTTGCTACAGAAAAGAAGTTTCATGGCCAGGAATGTTCTTTTTTCTTCCAGGTCACAGCTTTATATTTCCCACACGATTCTCCCATCATTGATTCAAAAAATTTCCAACATGCCCGATCACTCAGATTCGATGGTCGCACAAAAATTGGCCATTTCTGTGATCCACTCATGGTGCGAAATTTAAAATTTGATTCTCCCATCATTGGGTTTGATCACATCATGAATGTGGTCAAATTCACTTTACAAAAATAATTTGCACTTAGCAAAGTGAATGTAGTGAAAGTTCACTTTGCAAAGGAATTTCCCTTAACCTAGTGATGTGGTAACAATGCTTTTTGTAAAGGAATTTGCATTTTTTATAAGGGATTTGAACTTAATAAATACGGTGAAAATTCACTTTGCAAAGGTATTCGCATTTAGCTTAGTGAATGTGGTCAAATTTACTTTGCAAAAAGAATACTACCCCATTGTTAGTGTCAGTGGGAGGAATAGTGCCCCATCATTGGTGTCAGTGAGAGGAATAGTGCCCCATCATTGGTGTCAGTGGGAGGAATAGTGCCCCATCATTGGTATCAGTGGGAGGAATAGTGCCCCATCATTGGTATCAGTGGGAGGAATAGTGCCCCATCATTGGTGTCAGTGGGAGGAATAGTGCCCCATCATTGGTATCAGTGGGAGGAATAGTGCCCTATCATTGGTGTCAGTGGGAGGAATAGTGCTCCATCATTGGTGTCAGTGGGAGGAATAGTGCCCCATCATTGGTATCAGTGGGAGGAATAGTGCCCCATCATTGGTATCAGTGGGAGGAATAGTGCCCCATCATTGATATCAGTGGGAGGAATAGCGCCCCATCTTTGGTATCAGTGGGAGGAATAGTGCCCCATCATTGGTGTCAGTGGGAGGAATAGTGCCCCATCATTGGTGTCAGTGGGAGGAATGGTGCCCCATCATTTGTGCCAGTGGGAGGAATAGTGCCCCATGATTGGTATCAGTGGGAGGAATAGTGCCCCATCATTGGTATCAGTGGGAGGAATAGTGTCCCATCATTGGTGTTAGCGGGAAGAATAGTGTCCCATCATTGGTGTCAGTGGGAGGAATAGTGTCCCATTGTTGATGTCAGTGGGAGGGATGGTGCCCCGTCATTGGTGTCAGTGGGAGGAATAGTGTCCCATCATTGGTGTCAGTGGGGGAATAGTGCCCCATCATTGGTGTCAGTGGAAGGAATAGTGCCCCATCATTGGTATCAGTGGGAGGAATAGTGCCCCATCATTGGTATCAGTGGGAGGAATAGTGCCCCATCATTGGTGTCAGTGGGAGGAATAGTGCCCCATCATTGGTATCAGTGGGAGGAATAGTGCCCTATCATTGGTGTCAGTGGGAGGAATAGTGCTCCATCATTGGTGTCAGTGGGAGGAATAGTGCCCCATCATTGGTATCAGTGGGAGGAATAGTGCCCCATCATTGGTATCAGTGGGAGGAATAGTGCCCCATCATTGATATCAGTGGGCGGAATAGCGCCCCATCTTTGGTATCAGTGGGAGGAATAGTGCCCCATCATTGGTGTCAGTGGGAGGAATAGTGCCCCATCATTGGTGTCAGTGGGAGGAATGGTGCCCCATCATTTGTGCCAGTGGGAGGAATAGTGCCCCATGATTGGTATCAGTGGGAGGAATAGTGCCCCATCATTGGTATCAGTGGGAGGAATAGTGTCCCATCATTGGTGTCAGCGGGAAGAATAGTGTCCCATCATTGGTGTCAGTGGGAGGAATAGTGTCCCATTGTTGATGTCAGTGGGAGGGATGGTGCCCCGTCATTGGTGTCAGTGGGAGGAATAGTGTCCCATCATTGGTGTCAGTGGGAGGAATAGTGTCCCATTGTTGATGTCAGTGGGAGGGATGGTGCCCCGTCATTGGTGTCAGTGGGAGGAATAGTGTCCCATCATTGGTGTCAGTGGGAGGAATAGTGTCCCATCATTGGTGTCAGTGGGAGGAATAGTGTCCCATCATTGGTGTCAGTGGGAGTATTAGTTCCCCATCTCTGGCATCAGTGGGAGGAATAGTGCCCCATCATTGGTGTCAGTGGGAGGAATAGTGCCCATCATTGGTATCAGTGGGAGGAATAGTGTCCCATCATTGGTGTCAGCGGGAAGAATAGTGTCCCATCATTGGTGTCAGTGGGAGTATTAGTTCCCCATCTCTGGCATCAGTGGGAGGAATAGTGCCCCATCATTGGTGTCAGTGGGAGGAATAGTGCCCATCATTGGTATCAGTGGGAGGAATAGTGTCCCATCATTGGTGTCAGCGGGAAGAATAGTGTCCCATCATTGGTATCAGTGGGAGGAATAGTGTCCCATCATTGGTATCAGTGGGAGGAATAGTGCCCCATCATCGGTATCAGTGGGAGGACTAGTGTCCCATCGTTGATGTCAGTGGGTGTATAGGTTCCTCATCTCTGGCATCAATGAGAGGAAGTCACCCATTATTGGTGTCAGTGTGAGGAATAGTGCCCCATCATTGGTGTCAGAGGGAGTATTAGTTCCCCATCTCTGGCATCACTGAGAGGAATAGCACCCCATCGTTGGTGTCACTGGGAGAAATAGTGCCCATCATTGGTGTCAGAGGGAGGAATAGTGCCCTGTCTTTGGTTTCAGTGGAAGTATAGTGCCTCGTATCAGTAGAAGGAATAGCACCCCAAGGGCTGGATAAGGGAACACTAAGGGCCACACCCAGCCCACAGGCTGCAATTGGGGGATCCCTGGTCCAGTGCACTGACACACTCACATTTGCCTGATGACCCATCACCGCAGCTGCAAACACAAAGAGACCAACACAGGGCATAAAGACCTATTCTTCAAAAGAAACAATAGATGGGTCTCTGATAGCCTTATCCAATAAATTTACACATGACAGGTTCACTTTAGTTCCAACCCCAGAGATTAGCTCAAGAAAGATTAAAATCTCACTGTGTACAAACATTGTATTAGCCCCTTTCATTTCCATTCATTGCCGCTTATTAAAGCAGGAGAAAAAATTGCACAAACTTGCCAATAAACGTTCCCGTGGGTTGAGATTTCCATGGCAGCCACCCAAATTTTTTATTATTTTCAAAGCACGCGCTACATTTATTCCGGAGTCTTACATACTGCTGACATTTCAGCAAACCGAATGCACATCTGGCCCCGGGTCCACGGCAAGAAAAATCAAATGTCCCAAATGTTTCTATTGACTGGGTCATTTTTCAAGAAGTAAAAAAAAAAGAACTCGCACTCTGAGAGCGTCTTGCAAAAAAAAAGCGAAATTGCGGCTGTCGAGACCTGAAAAGTTACACTGTTGATATATAAACTCCCGCGTA